ATAACTGATTCATGTTGTCTTATCTTTGTAGAAGCTTTAAGATAACTGATTCATGAACATTAAAATGGTATAAAATACCGACAGGTTGTTAGGTAAGACACATATGCAACAGTTAGGTATCTTTATTTTGAAACGTTTCGCCTACACAGTAGGCTTCTTCAGTCGAGTACAGAAAAGTTGATAGAAGCAGAAGATACTTGAAGACGATGTAATCAGTCCATCACCCTTAAAGTTTTGAGGTGGTCAGTCCCTCAGTCTGGAGAGCATTGTTCCATAGAATGAAACAATATGGAGATGAAGTGACAAGGGTATCTTGGTACAGACCTACAATCAACTTTTACAACCTCTACTAGTGAGAACGGCTGGATTTGAGAGGGACCTGACCTCCCAACATCTGAGTCTTACCTCTCCTAGTGACCTACGTCTCACCATGTTGGCGCTATAAATAGGCTCCATCCTGTCACTTCATCTCCATATTGTTTCATTCTATGGAACAATGCTCTCCAGACTGAGGGACTGACCACCTCAAAACTTTAAGGGTGATGGAACTGATTACATCGTCTTCAAGTATCTTCTGCTTCTATCAACTTTTCTGTACTCGACTGAAGAAGCCTACTGTGTAGGCGAAACGTTTCAAAATAAAGATACCTAACTGTTGCATATGTGTCTTACCTAACAACCTGTCGGTATTTTATACCATTTTAATGTTCAACTTGTCAGACACTGCAACACAAGGGTATCTTTGGTACAGACCTACAATCACTTTTACAACCTCTACTAGTGAGAACGGCTGGATTTGAGAGGGACCTGACCTCCCAACATCTGAGTTCTTACCTCTCCTAGTGACCTACGTCTCACCTGTTGGCGCTATAAATAGGCTCCATCCTGTCACTTCATCTCCATATTGTTTCATTCTATGGAACAATGCTCTCCAGACTGAGGGACTGACCACCTCAAAACTTTAAGGGTGATGGACTGATTACATCGTCTTCAAGTATCTTCTGCTTCTATCAACTTTTCTGTACTCGACTGAGAAGCCTACTGTGTAGGCGAACGTTTCAAAATAAAGATACCTAACTGTTGCATATGTGTTTTACCTAACAACTGTCGGTATTTTATACCATTTTAATGTTCAACTTGTCAGACACTGCAACAAAGGGTATCTTGGTACAGACCTACAGTCAACTTTTACAACCTCTACTAGTGAGAACGGCTGGATTTGAGAGGGACCTGACCTCCCAACATCTGAGTTCTTACCTCTCCTAGTGACCTACGTCTCACCTGTTGGCGCTAAAATAGGCTCCATCCTGTCACTTCATCTCCATATTGTTTCATTCTATGGAACAATGCTCTCCAGACTGAGGGACTGACCACCTCAAAACTTTAAGGGTGTGGACTGATTACATCGTCTTCAAGTATCTTCTGCTTCTATCAACTTTTCTGTACTCGACTGAAGAAGCCTACTGTGTAGGCGAAACGTTTCAAAATAAAGATACCTAACTGTTGCATATGTGTCTTACCTAACAACCTGTCGGTATTTTATACCATTTTAATGTTCAACTTGTCAGACACTGCAACACAAGGGTATCTTGGTACAGACCTACAATCAACTTTTACAACCTCTACTAGTGAGAACGGCTGGATTTGAGAGGGACCTGACCTCCAACATCTGAGTTCTTACCTCTCCTAGTGACCTACGTCTCACCTGTTGGCGCTATAAATAGGCTCCATCCTGTCACTTCATCTCCATATTGTTTCATTCTATGGAACAATGCTCTCCAGACTGAGGGACTGACCACCTCAAACTTTAAGGTGATGGACTGATTACATCGTCTTCAAGTATCTTCTGCTTCTATCAACTTTTCTGTACTCGACTGAAGAAGCCTACTGTGTAGGCGAAACGTTTCAAAATAAAGATACCTAACTGTTGCATATGTGTCTTACCTAACAACCTGTCGGTATTTTATACCATTTTAATGTTCAACTTGTCAGACACTGCAACACAAGGGTATCTTGGTACAGACCTACAATCAACTTCTACAACCTCTACTAGTGAGAACTGCTGGATTTGAGAGGGACCTGACCTCCCAACATCTGAGTTCTTACCCCTTCTAGTGACCTACGTCTCACCTGTTGGCGCTATAAATAGGCTCCATCCACTGTCACTTCATCTCCATATTGTTTCATTCTATGGAACAATGCTCTCCAGACTGAGGGACTGACCACTCAAAACTTTAAGGGTGATGGACTGATTACATCGTCTTCAAGTATCTTCTGCTTCTATCAACTTTTCTGTACTCGACTGAAGAAGCCTACTGTGTAGGCGAACGTTTCAAATAAAGATACTAACTGTTGCATATGTGTTTTACTAACAACCTGTCGGTATTTTATACCATTTTAATGTTCAACTTGTCAGACACTGCAACACAAGGGTATCTTGGTACAGACCTACAGTCAACTTTTACAACCTCTACTAGTGAGAACGGCTGGATTTGAGAGGGACCTGACCTCCCAACATCTGAGTTCTTACCTCTCCTAGTGACCTACGTCTCACCTGTTGGCGCTATAAATAGGCTCCATCCTGTCACTTCATCTCCATATTGTTTCATTCTATGGAACAATGCTCTCCAGACTGAGGGACTGACCACCTCAAAACTTTAAGGGTGATGGACTGATTACATCGTCTTCAAGTATCTTCTGCTTCTATCAACTTTTCTGTACTCGACTGAAGAAGCCTACTGTGTAGGCGAAACGTTTCAAAATAAAGATACCTAACTGTTGCATATGTGTCTTACCTAACAACCTGTCGGTATTTTATACCATTTTAATGTTCAAACTGGTCAGACACTGCAACACAAGGGTATCTTGGTACAGACCTACAATCAACTTTTACAACCTCTACTAGTGAGAACGGCTGGATTTGAGAGGGACCTGACCTCCAACATCTGAGTTCTTACCTCTCCTAGTGACCTACGTCTCACCTGTTGGCGCTATAAATAGGCTCCATCCTGTCACTTCATCTCCATATTGTTTCATTCTATGGAACAATGCTCTCCAGACTGAGGGACTGACCACCTCAAAACTTTAAGGGTGATGGACTGATTACATCGTCTTCAAGTATCTTCTGCTTCTATCAACTTTTCTGTACTCGACTGAAGAAGCCTACTGTGTAGGCGAAACGTTTCAAAATAAAGATACCTAACTGTTGCATATGTGTCTTACCTAACAACCTGTCGGTATTTTATACCATTTTAATGTTCAACTTGTCAGACACTGCAACACAAGGGTATCTTGGTACAGACCTACAATCAACTTCTACAACCTCTACTAGTGAGAACGGCTGGATTTGAGAGGGACCTGACCTCCCAACATCTGAGTTCTTACCTCTCCTAGTGACCTACGTCTCACCTGTTGGCGCTATAAAAAGGCTCCATCCTGTCACTTCATCTCCATATTGTTTCATTCTATGGAACAATGCTCTCCAGGACTGAGGGACTGACCACCTCAAAACTTTAAGGGTGATGGACTGATTACATCGTCTTCAAGTATCTTCTGCTTCTATCAACTTTTCTGTACTCGACTGAAGAAGCCTACTGTGTAGGCGAAACGTTTCAAAATAAAGATACCTAACTGTTGCATATGTGTCTTACCTAACAACCTGTCGGTTATTTTATACCATTTTAATGTTCAAAATGTCAGACACTGCAACACAAGGGTATCTTGGTACAGACCTACAATCAACTTTTACAACCTCTACTAGTGAGAACGGCTGGATTTGAGAGGGACCTGACCTCCCAAATCTGAGTTCTTACCTCTCCTAGTGACCTACGTCTCACCTGTTGGCGCTATAAATAGGCTCCATCCTGTCACTTCATCTCCATATGTTTTCATTCTATGGAAACAATGCTCTCCAGACTGAGGGACTGACCACCTCAAAACTTTAAGGGTGATGGATGATTACATCGTCTTCAAGTATCTTCTGCTTCTATCAACTTTTCTGTACTCGACTGAAGAAGCTACTGTGTAGGCGAAACGTTTTCAAAATAAAGATACCTAACTGTTGCATATGTGTCTTACCTAACAACCTGTCGGTATTTTATACCATTTTAATGTTCAAACTTGTCAGACACTGCAACACAAGGTATCTTGGTACAGACCTACAATCAACTTTTACAACCTCTACTAGTGAGAACGGCTGGATTTGAGAGGGACCTGACCTCCCAACATCTGAGTTCTTACCTCTCCTAGTGACCTACGTCTCACCTGTTGGCGCTATAAATAGGCTCCATCCTGTCACTTCATCTCCATTGTTTCATTCTATGGAACAATGCTCTCCAGACTGAGGGACTGACCACCTCAAAACTTAAGGGTGATGGACTGATTACATCGTCTTCAAGTATCTTCTGCTTCTATCAACTTTTCTGTACTCGACTGAAGAGCCTACTGTGTAGGCGAAACGTTTCAAAATAAAGATACCTAACTGTTGCATATGTGTCTTACCTAACAACCTGTCGGTATTTTATACCATTTTAATGTTCAACTTGTCAGACACTGCAACACAAGGGTATCTTGGTACAGACTACAATCAACTTTTACAAACCTCTACTAGTGAGAACGGCTGGATTGAGAGGGACCTGACCTCCCAACATCTGAGTTCTTACTCTCCTAGTGACCTACGTCTCACCTGTTGGCGCTATAAATAGGCTCCATCCTGTCACTTCATCTCCATATTGTTTCATTCTATGGAACAATGCTCTCCAGACTGAGGGACTGACCACCTCAAAACTTTAAGGGTGATGGACTGATTACATCGTCTTCAAGTATCTTCTGCTTCTATCAACTTTTCTGTACTCGACTGAAGAAGCCTACTGTGTAGGCGAAACGTTTCAAAATAAAGATACCTAACTGTTGCATATGTGTCTTACCTAATAACTGATTCATGTTGTCTTATCATTGTAGAAGATTTAAGATAACTTATTCTTGTTATCTTGTCATTGCAGAAGCGCTAGATGGGAGTAAAGAAAATATTTCCCCTGGTGAGAAGATGGGAGGCAGGAGCCAGCCCCCAGTACCCACCATGACTTACACGGTAAGTGTATGTGCTACCCACTGTAACCTACGTAGGTGGTATGTATTATCCACTGTGACATATACAGTAAGTGTAGTGGTACCAGTTGTGACCTATATGGTAAGTGTAAGTGCTACCCATTGTAACCTATACGGTAAGTGTAGGTGTATGTGTATCTGCTGCCTAGTGTGGCTTATACGGTAAGTGTATGTGCTAACCTATAGAGTAGATGTATGTGCTAACCTATACAGTAGATGTATGTGCTAACCTATACAGTAGATGTATGTGCTAACCTATACAATAAATGTATGCGCTAACCTATACAGTAGATGTATGTGCTAACCTATACAGTAGATGTATGTGCTAACCTATACAATAAATGTATGTGCTAACCTATACAGTAGATGTATGTGCTAACCTATACAGTAAGTGTATGTGCTAATCTATACGGTAAGTGTATGTGCTAACCTATACAGTAAGTGTATGTGCTAACCTGTACAGTAAGTGTATGTGCTAACCTATACAGTAACTGTATGTGCTAACTTATACAATAGATACACAAATAACCCGCACATAGAAGAGAGGAGCTTACGACGACGTTTCGGTCCGATTTGGACCATTTACAGAGTCACACTAACGAGACGCACGAACGAACGAATGTTCAGGTAAGATCCCAAATGGGATGAGTGGGGAAGACGGGACAGACGAAGGATAGTGCTGGAGAGGAGTGTTCTTAGTCGTAGAAATAGAGCCAGGGCTTAACCCAGCAGCGAAGGCGATCGTGGGACAGATATTGAGAAGAGAAATTCAGGCTCTTCTGTTGGGACTCCGGTGGGGTGAGCGGGGAGGACGGGACATGCGACGTTTAGCACTAGAGAGGAGTGTAGAACTGAGCCATGTCTTAACCCAAAAGCTAAGGCGAACGTGGGTCATGGAAATTACCTGTCAGAGAATCCAAGGTTATTTGTAAATAGGGTTAGGAGCAGGATCATGCAAGGAGTAGAAAAGGTTATGTTGGTTTGTGGGTCTGCGAATGTCTTCGTCAAGGAGGGAGGTCCAGTAGTCACGTCGTGTCTCAAGTTTGTTTATCTGTCTGTCACTGACGTCTTCCAGTACAGATTCAGCGCAGGGATGTCTAATTGGGCATGGAGAGACTCGCTTGTGGCGAAGTCCTCCCATCTGACATCAGGCACCCAGCGCAGCGCCTTGTTCTGGACACGCTGCAGTTTAAGTAAGTTTGTTTTTGCTGCAAGAGAGAGGGCTAGAGGAGAGTAAGTTATAAGAGGACGTATTAGGGATTTGTAGAGGTGTAGTTTGGTGCGTTGAGAGGCATGTTTCAGCTTGTAGAGGCCCGCAAGGGCCTTACTAGCTATTGCATGCCTTGAGTGAATGTGTCCGTGTAAGCGTAGAAGGTAGTCAAGATTAACGCCAAGAACAGTGACAGATTGTGTGATGGGGATGTAAGTGCGGGTGTCAGCTGTTCTGAGCTCGACAGGAAATGGAGGATCACGTTTCCTGTAGTTAAAATATGTGATGCTGGATTTAGCTGCATTGGTTTTGATCCTCCATTTTTGTTCCCAGATGGCTGTCCTGTCGACCTCATTTCGTGATTTGTGTGTGAGTGAATCTATATTGGCATGAGTGATAAGTTGTGTAATGTCGTCTGCATAGGCTAGTGGGATGGAGTTTTGGTATACAGGTGTTGGAATGTCGTTAGTGTATAAAATGTAGAGGGTAGGGGAGAGGACAGATCCCTGGGGTACTCCAGCCTTTAGTGTGGAGTAGTCAGTGTAACAGCCTTGGAATTTGATTCTCATGGTACGGCCGTCTAGGAAGTTGCAGAGGAGTTTACGAGTAGTGAGAGGCAGGTTAAAGTTAGTGCAGAGTTTGTACTTGAGCCCTTCGTGCCAGACAGTGTCAAAAGCTTTTTCAACGTCTTTTGCAACCAGAGCTATCCTCTTTCTTTGTTTTGTGTTTATGTGGATGTAGTTGAGAATGATGTTAATGGCGTCCTGTGTGGATCTGAGTGTTCTGAAGCCAAACTGGCCAACAGAAAGTAGAGAGTTGTGTTCCAGGTATCTGCGAAGGCGATGGTTGATAAATTAGACACATGTGCAACTGTGATGAATGGTTTGAAAAACCGACAAGTTGAAGATTGAGACACTTATGCAGCATATGGGAATCTTTATTCAGGAAACGTTACGCCACACAGTGGCTTCATCAGTCCAATACAAAGAGGAAGGCGTAAGGAGAGGAGGAGTATGAGGTAATCAGTCCCTCAGCCTGGAGTCGATGTGTTCAGTCCATCAATCTTGTAGAATGTACAGCATAGGGCCGTAGACGTGGCTTATATACTGTAGTGAGGTGACTTGAAGCAGACGGAGGCGGGATCATAGTGGTATCATCCACTAGTCGAAGTAGGTCTTTGTCCAAAGGTTGAACAAGCGTTGAAGAATTCTTTGTAAGAAGATCCCATGATGCTGCAGTGTCTGACAGTTGTGATGAATGGTTTGAAAAACCGACAAGTTGAAGATTGAGACACTTATGCAGCATATGGGAATCTTTATTCAGGAAACGTTTCGCCTCACAGTGGCTTCATCAGTCCAATACAAAGAGGAAGGCGTAAGGAGAGGAGGAGTATGAGGTAATCAGTCCCTCAGCCTGGAGTCGATGTGTTCAGTCCATCAATCTTGTAGAATGTACAGCATAGGGCCGTAGACGTGGCTTATATACTGTAGTGAGGTGACTTGAAGCAGACGGAGGCGGGATCATAGTGGTATCATCCACTAGTCGAAGTAGGTCTTTGTCCAAAGGTTGAACAAGCGTTGAAGAATTCTTTGTAAGAAGATCCCATGATGCTGCAGTGTCTGACAGTTATGATGAATGGTTTGAAAAACCGACAAGTTGAAGATTGAGACACTTATGCAGCATATGGGAATCTTTATTCAGGAAACGTTGTCGGTTTTTCAAACCATTCATCACAACTGTCAGACACTGCAGCATCATGGGATCTTCTTACAAAGAATTCTTCAACGCTTGTTCAACCTTTGGACAAAGACCTACTTCGACTAGTGGATGATACCACTATGATCCCGCCTCCGTCTGCTTCAAGTCACCTCACTACAGTATATAAGCCACGTCTACGGCCCTATGCTGTACATTCTACGAGATTGATGGACTGAACACATCGACTCCAGGCTGAGGGACTGATTACCTCATACTCCTCCTCTCCTTACGCCTTCCTCTTTGTATTGGACTGATGAAGCCACTGTGAGGCGAAACGTTTCCTGAATAAAGATTCCCATATGCTGCATAAGTGTCTCAATCTTCAACATGTGCAACTCTTGGGTATCTTTATTGAGGAAACGTTTCGCCACACAGTGGCTTCATAAGTCCATACATAGGAGAAACTTGAAGAACAGGAGGAGAATGAGGTAATCAGTCCCTCAACCTTGAGTCGATGTGGTCAGTCCATCAATCTTGAGTAGAATACGGCAGATGAGCGGAGAAGCAGCTTATAAACCGTATGGCAGGAGAGGTGTAGCAGTCATAGGTAGTGTCACATTTGTTCAATGTGGAAGTAGGTCGTGCCCAAGAATTAGGCAAGCGACTGTGTGGCGAAACGTTTCCTCAATAAAGATACCCAAGAGTTGCACATGTGTCTAATTTATCAACATGTCGGTTCTCTGAACCATTCATCTACAAACCTGTCAGACACTGCAACTTCTTGGGATCTTAATACTTAGGAATTCTTCGCTTGCCTAATTCTTGGGCACAACCTACTTCCACATTGAACAAATGTGACACTACCTATGACTGCTACACCTCTCCTGCCATACGGTTTATAAACTGCTTCTCCGCTCATCTGCCGTATTCTACTCAAGATTGATGGACTGAACACATCGACTCAAGTTGAGGGACTGATTACCTCATTCTCCTCCTGTTCTTCAAGTTTCTCCTATGTATGGACTGATGAAGCCACTGTGTGGCGAAACGTTTCCTCAATAAAGATACCCATGTCGAACATTAAAATGGTATAAAATACCGACAGGTTGTTAGGTAAGACACATATGCAACAGTTAGGTATCTTTATTTGAAACGTTTCGCCTACACAGTAGGCTTCTTCAGTCGAGTACAGAAAAGTTGATAGAAGCAGAAGATACTTGAAGACGATGTAATCAGTCCATCACCCTTAAAGTTTTGAGGTGGTCAGTCCCTCAGTCTGGAGAAGAGCATTGTTCCATAGAATGAAACAATATGGAGATGAAGTGACAGGATGGAGCCTTTTTATAGCGCCAACAGGTGAGACGTAGGTCACTAGGAGAGGTAAGAACTCAGATGTTGGAAGGACAGGTCCCTCTCAAATCTAGCCGTTCTCACTAGTAGAGGTTGTAGAAGTTGATTGTAGGTCTGTACCAAGATACCCTTGTGTTGCAGTGTCTGACAGATTGAACATTAAAATGGTATAAAATACCGACAGGTTGTTAGGTAAGACACATATGCAACAGTTAGGTATCTTTATTTTGAAACGTTTCGCCTACACAGTAGGCTTTCTTCAGTCGAGTACAGAAAAGTTGATAGAAGCAGAAGATACTTGAAGACGATGTAATCAGTCCATCACCCTTAAAGTTTTGAGGTGGTCAGTCCCTCAGTCTGGAGAAGAGCATTGTTCCATAGAATGAAACAATATGGAGATGAAGTGACAGGATGGAGCCTTTTATAGTGCCAACGGGTGAGACGTAGCGTCATAGGAGAGGTAAGAACTCAGATGTGGAAGGACAGGTCCCTCTCAAATCTAGCCGTTCTCACTAGTAGAGGTTGTAGAAGTTGATTGTAGGTCTGTACCAAGATACCCTTGTGTTGCAGTGTCTGACAGATTGAACATTAAAATGGTATAAAATACCGACAGGTTGTTAGGTAAGACACATATGCAACAGTTAGGTATCTTTATTTTGAAACGTTTCGCCTACACAGTAGGCTTCTTCAGTCGAGTACAGAAAAGTTGATAGAAGCAGAAGATACTTGAAGACGATGTAATCAGTCCATCACCCTTAAAGTTTTGAGGTGGTCAGTCCCTCAGTCTGGAGAAGAGCATTGTTCCATAGAATGAAACAATATGGAGATGAAGTGACAGGATGGAGCCTTTTTATAGCGCCAACGGGTGAGACGTAGGTCACATCTGAGTTCTTACCTCTCCTAGTGACCTACGTCTCACCCGTTGGCGCTATAAAAAGGCTCCATCCTGTCACTTCATCTCCATATTGTTTCATTCTATGGAACAATGCTCTTCTCCAGACTGAGGGACTGACCACCTCAAAACTTAAGGGTGATGGACTGATTACATCGTCTTCAAGTATCTTCTGCTTCTATCAACTTTTCTGTACTCGACTGAAGAAGCCTACTGTGTAGGCGAAACGTTTCAAAATAAAGATACCTAACTGTTGCATATGTGTCTTACCTAACAACCTGTCGGTATTTTATACCATTTTAATGTTCAATCTGTCAGACACTGCAACACAAGGGTATCTTGGTACAGACCTACAATCAACTTCTACAACCTCTACTA